GTATCAAGTAAATCGAAATCGGAAACTTGAAACAATTTGCGTCTAGTGAAGTGTCCTGGGCATTCTCAGAATGATTCCCTCGCTGATCGACTGTACCATGAATCCAGGCAGTATCAAGTGGATCAAAATGGGAAACTTGAAACGCTTTGCCTCTATCGAAGTGTCCTGGGCATTCTCAGAATGATTCCCTCGAGGCTCGACTGTACCATGAATCCAGGCAGTATTAGACCTCATCCAGTTGAGGGGGGGGGGCTCTTTTAGGAATTAGTCTGTGAACTAATGCTTTCTTTATGCCATTGCAGCGACAGTTCCAACATCACCAAGTGCAGCTACATTCGCAACTACTGGGGCTCCAGCGGCTATCAAGTATATATATACCATACACCTTAGTAATGTCTTTAATGGCACCCGCAGAACGGTTTTTTATTGTTTGACGTAACTGAAGTGCTTCAGTTTTTGTTCAGGCAGAGATAGTTCATGTGTACCTTGCAACTTTGCTGACTTCAATAAAATTGTATTCCAGAATTCCTTTTTGGCCGATTGTAGCTTTATAACACGAGCAGGAGTCGGAGTAATATTAACGTGATGATATGACATTATAATATCATGAGCGATTTAATTACAAATCGTGCAAGGAAATGGATCACATATTTGCCACTATGGCATCAATGACTCTAAGTCGTCCATCGCCACCACCAAGCAGTATTGTTTTGGTTGCGATTATAACAGCGATTGCTCTAAAAGCAGCAATAGCTTCTCTTGCCACAAGAGCTCAAAAAGTCATATCAACGAAAGATTGTCTAAATCAATTCATATATTCCATATTTGATTATGTACCATGAATGTCATCAAGCGTTGATACGTACGTGCAACATGTTTATACATGATCATATTATTTTCGTGTCGCTAATCTGATTGAATCAATAACTGAGTAATGATAAACGTTTCCGTAAATAAGGGATAGCAGCTGCTTCATTATTGATTTCTGGGGAATTATTGTCGGCTCGTCCTCCACGAAACAGAGTTTCTAATCTATCAACATTGGCAAGGATGTTATTGTCACAAAATTTATCGGGCAACGGAAGTGAGTTTTTATTACCACGATGTCGTTTACGCAGTCAGTGGCAAGACCTTCTCAGGATTTTTGTCTGGTTGTTGTATTTCTGGTTGTTGTAACAGTGTGCAATATATTTCTGGTATCATTATTTCCGACCTGATGAACTTCTTAGTGTATGCAAAATATCCATTTATACCAGTTATCGCGACTTATAACATAATCAGTGTAGTCGGATTTTTGAAAATTTCTCCATTATCAAAACTATGCACAGCAAACGCAGATAATTTTCCACGCTGTTAATTTGTTATCAGGGCAATATTCCCTTCAGTAAATTTAGCAATCAATTCAGTTCCTACTAGTGCTTGTTCTGGTTCCGGTTCTGGCATAAGATCCTTTTTACAGGCTATTTCACTACTAGTTTGGTCAATACCGTGAAGTATTTCTTGCAATGGCTGAGCAGCAGCTATTTCACCTGGACGTTCTCTTAAAATCGTTTTTGTTCGTCTTGTTCTTTCTGCTATTTTTCCAGTTGCTTTAGCGGTTAGATACAACGTGCGAAGAAAATCATCAGTAGATTTTGTAACTGGTTTAAATAGCTGTTCTGCACCTACTGTAAATTCCATCAGAGACGCCTGACGCTCTTGAAATTTTTGATTGACCGAATAACGGAAAGGGATATAATTTCTAATTGACCCTAGTCGCTTTCTAACTGCTTTAGTTGTAAAAAAAATTCATGGTAGCGTAGTATCGCTCATTGTTTTTTGATGGCATTAAAGATTGAATCACTGAAAGCGTTTCAACAGCAAGGGTGACGACCAGCAATGAATGTCCTGGTGTTATGCATAAGGAGTTGGTAAATAAATTTAACACACCAACTTCAAGAGAAAATGTAACAAAGCTGCAATAACAGGGTCAGAGGTTGCAGAGGTAACTACACTTACAGATGTGAGATTAATCGATTCGAGAAAGGAGACCTGAACCCAACAATCACATGTCTACGTGACGGTAGCTGGACCTGGACAAATTTTATTTGCGGTAATTTAACAATGCAGTTCATTAAATGACTACAATGTTATAAGCGTTATGAATTACATAAGTGACGTCAATGCATGATAATAAGGCAAAAGCATATTGTCCTCGTCACATTATTGTACTCTATATTCACCAGTAGTCAAATTTTGATATTGCTTTTCTAAAACTTCAAATGAAATGCGCAGTTAAGTATGAATATCTACATATTGCATAATACTGCATCCATAACATTACCCTGCGTTATATAATATTGCAGTAAATTACATGACAAATAGCTCTCCTTCCTTTTTACACATCCGGATACAAAAATGAATAAACTAAATGCAAACTGTTGGTTTTGCTGTATAATATGTGATTTCATTTTCTTCGGAACAAAAATGTGAGCAAGTGCAAACAAGCATGGTATAAACAAATAATTTCAAGCAATGATTTCAAATGATAATCTTACAAAGTCAATAGTACAAAGAAAAGAACGTTTTGTCCTTTCGTTGGTCGATAAGTGTCTATATGTGTGAACAGGGACACCAACCGGGCGAGCTATTCCTTCATAATTTTTGTACCTTGCACAAACTAATAACCTTTAAAAGTTTCAACGTTTACCTAGCATAGATTTCACCCAAGTTATATCGTCTGATAATAAAACCTACCATAAACGGCTCAGATAATAGTATACTGTGATGATTTTAAAAAATTTTTCAACAGAAAGCGCTTGTAAACATGATCAATACACCTCTGAGCCATCATTGTTAATTCTGAGCCTCTGCTCTCTGCTGATTCACGATAGAACTATGTATATCATTTATATGGCAGCCATTTTAGAAAACACATTTGTATGTTAAGTTTCTAACAAAATAGTTCCACACACTAGACCCTTTGCTGCTTTTATTGTGATGCCTCTTGCTCGGGTTAATATAATAAATATCTTGATCATAATTTGAAGTGAAAACTGTCATAAACTTTATTAACATGCGCGTCTGTAAAACGAAATTTCCCCAAATTCATGAAGCATATCCGTTGTCAAACTCTTCATTTTGGATAGGAATAGTTGTTGCACGTTGTCCAGCCTTTTGTTTTGAATGTAAGTAAATACTTGCTTGTGATCCCTAATCCAACATTGTCTAAATTGAAATTGGTGGTTTTATAAAACAGCAAAATATATGCTGTTTGTACGAATGATAAACAACCATCTTGACCCAGGTCAACTCCGATTTTATTTGTCATGAAAGGCATGGTTGCCTTAACTTAAAACTGGTATGTTTACATTACATTCCAATATCTGTCCTTAATCTTGAAATTTCATATCTTACATCTTTAGATAATAAGCTTAAAGCCGAACCAGCATATCTGCAAATTTATTGTTGAGATTAAATTACGGTGGCAGTGTGGTGTTTCTAAAGAAGCACGGATACCATATTGGAAGCAATTTAATCACACGATGGAGTAAAACACTGACAAATTTTACGGGCTACCAGATTTCAGTTGCGTGTATTGAAATAGGTATTGAACATGAGGCTGTATACATGCAAAACCAGCGATTGCTTACTTTTCAGGCAACGCGACATAATGTTGCACAACAGTGCTTTATATTCTCTAATGGGCAAGGTCATTAAGTTAAATGTATATATATTTGTAGCACTAAGTTTTAAATTATTCTTACTGCTTCTTACACTTAGATACCTTTATCGTTAGATGATTGTGGGCGTTGGCAATATTTCATTCCCTGTCATCTTTTTTGATTTTTATTGTAGAGACATATCTATGTTACAATTATTTTTGCAGTTAATAACCTCGATAAAGTAAATACTTATATGAAATATCGACAATATTTTGTCATAGTAATGACATTAAAGTTCTTTGAAATACGATAGCTACACAATTTAGGGACTTGGATTACTTGCATCTCTCCTTTATGATATATTTTATTGGTTCTTGAATATAGCGACCACTAATGATATTTGGCATCAATATGTAAGAAGCCAAAGAAGAAATTGAAATTAAATTTGAATTTTATTCGCCATTTCATTCAGTCCAGAAGCTATGGATTTATATTGGACATATTAGCCTCAACTCGTCAAGTCAAACTTGTGCATTTAACCGTGATCTAATCAGTGATTACTATTTACCAAAATCATGACTAAAGGTGGTAGACAAACAATTATGTGCTGTTTGTCAATAATTGTATATATTTCATCATGTGGACGAATATTGTTTACAACATAATTGTGATGGCCGTTTATATTGCACTGGATACCGATTAATACTCAGCAGAAAAATGGTACATTAAGAGATGAATTGGTGTTCCAGTCCTATGGTATCAACTTCAAACTACGATTACCACAAGACCCTAATACTTAAATAAAACAAAACTTATCGCGAAAATGTGAGGCACGCAAGTGTTTAGAGTTGGTATATGGCCACTATATTTCTGGTAAAGAAAGAGCAATAGAGGCTACAAGACAAATTTTTACTTGCGATTTAGACCTAAATGAAAATTAATGACATATTTACCACTGACATTTTAAACTATTAAAACAAATATATGTTTAATTTGTTAAACTATATGTTATTAATATAATTATTATTAATATTTAATTGTATCAGTTGTGATCATTTTTCTGATAATATTACCAGTAAATTTGGAGGATATTTGCCCAATTCAGCATTGTTTCATATATCTGTGATTTGGTTTTTAAAACGTAGCTTTAACATATTTTCAGTCATATAGCTACGATTTATACATTATCAAAGTTTACACCGATGTCTAGCACTGGGAATCATGCCGCAGACCTGTAGCATGATGTCCCACCAAGTCACAATATTCTGACACCAGGCCCACCAGTCCTAACACTAAGTTCTTAATGATGAGCGCCAATCGAGGCAGTAGTCAGTACCATTTTTAAAAGTCTTGGTATGACTCGGCCGGGGTTAGAACCCGCGACCTCCTACATCCGAGGCGGACGCTCCACCACTAGGCCACTGAACGGTCCTTTCATGTATGTATGTATGTATGTATGTATGTATGTATGTATGTATGTATGTATGTATGTATGTATGTATGTATGTATGTATGCATGCATGCATGCATGCATGCACGGACGGACGGACGGACGTATCTATGTATGTATGTATATATGTATGTCTGAACACAGTTCCTTAATAATACTGACTTTAATTCTCCTTCAGCAAATCAGAAATGGACACAAGACACAATCTATCCAAATAATATACATAAATCTGAAGTAATTAGTAATGTGACAGGGATTGATTTGTTGGCATGCATGCAAGAATGTGACAAGGAACCGACCAAATGTTTGTCCTTCTTTTATGATAATCACACCAGCCTCTGTGTTTTGTCCGCTTCATTCCAACGAGGACTGCCGGACGGTTTTCAGTTTCTGAAGGATTAGTCTATTACACAGGCAAATATTAGAAAATCGTCATACATATGGATTAGTCTATTATACAGGCAAGTATTAGAAAATCGTCATACATATGGATTAGTCTATTACACAGGCAAGTATTAGAAAATCGCCATAAAGATGGACACATTACACATGCAAGTATTAGAAAATTGTCATACAGATCGATTAGTCTATTACATATGTAATTATTAGAAAATCGTGATACTTTTGGAATAGCCTATTACACAGGCACGATAAGGATCATTGTCATATAAATGATGATGTCTTAAAAACGTAAATGTCATAAATTTCTACCCGTGTAATAATTGTAATAAAATAAGTAACATAAGAAGTATGCACTCATTCTCGTTAATGTTGCATTTCATTTACGGGCAATGTTAATTAAAATTATAAACTTTAAATGTGACAAAACTAGTAGATAATTTTCTTAATTTACAGTCCACACATCGCAGACTTTTATACATTCAGACTATTTGCTCTCATTCTGTTTGGAGTGATTCAGTATCAACAAATAGGTACACGTCGGAAGCGATCTGTAAAAATGTAATTTCTTTGCCTTATTTATCCCAAACCAAAATAAACAAATGTATTTAAGAGTAAGTGAAATATATTTTTTGGGAATAAAAAAACGATTACTGAATTGGATAATGTCTTTGAATACTACTGCCTAACGATTGAATGATTTGTTTATTAATTTCCTTGATTCTGAACTCGTATATTCGTTTGTTTCCTCCTAGGCTTTTCTTTACCAACCGATCGATCAGCCATTTGGTTCATTCTTCTGTTCGTACTTTCTCTGTGTATGTTTGTTTCTGTATTTCTTCTCCTTTATTCTTTTACTTTGTGTCAGAAGTTATGAATTTGCATTTTACAGCGCCATCGACCTCATGTGATGCGGATTACAGAGATGTTTTTTTGGAAGATTCTTATTTTTGCATCAAGCACCACTGGGAACCAAAAGTTTTCAACAAAGCAATGAAAGCCTGCGAATCTGAAAAGGCCAAATTACTTGTAGTTACTACAAAAAGTCAGATTACTGACTTAAACAAGATTTCGTGGGATCATTGTAAGTGAAACTACATCTACCTATATTGAACAAAGTAAGCATTATATTATAAAAACAGTTTAAGTAATAAACTCATGTTCAGGATCATCCATAACACTTCAAATCGTTCATTCATATTGATCAAAGTGAAGTTAAAGTGAAGTTAGACATTTTAAATTAGAAACGATCAAGCGGTTATAAGTGTAACAAACGCCAGTAAGTGATATTTAATGGTGACAATGTTTGAAGTTACCAGCAATTGTTACAATGAACGCTAAATAACATTATCAAATAATGATGACATTGACTGGAAGTACTTGGCCTCCATTGGCAACAATACATGTTAAGGATCTGAAATTATTATAAATGCCTGTAAGTAACACGTAATATCCAATAGGAATTTGGAAACTAAGCCAAATATTTCTTAAGGCTTGAATGTTTGAATGAAATTATTGGTGTCCTTCCGTTTTTCCATTTCGAGAACCTCACAGTTTTTCATGAAAAATGTTACATCGACGTCTTCATCATGTAAATGTTCCGTCACACTTTTAAACTTACATTAGCACCTAAAATACTAAAATCTATAGAGATCAGACCGATATCTTCATAAACATTTTTTACCATTTCTGAATGTATGTAAGGTGAGTGTGGGTGATTTGGAGATTTAACATATCTTTAACAATTTTCCAGCCATTTCTCAACGGTGTTTGCTGTGTGGCAGTTTATACTGATATTGATTTTTGGGCCATCATGACGCAGACATGTAGCATCATATCATACCCTGTCACATTATCCTGACACCAGACCGACCAGTTCTAACACTAACCTCTTAATGGTGAGCGCCAAGCGAGGCAGCTGTTGGTACTATTTTATAAGTCTATGGTATGAATTGTCCGGGGTTTGAACCCGCGGCCTCCCGTATCCGAGGCTCCAGCCACTTGGTCAACTGAATGGTCAAAGTGTGTAATGTACGTGAACGAATGGCGGGCATTTACTGGATCAGACTATGATAATGTTTGTCACCACAATGTCAAAAGACAATCAGAGGAAGATGTAAATGCTTGACATAATAAGATGAAAAATTGGAAACATTACATATACGAGATAAAGTCTATCACTCAGAGATGGATAGGTAAATCAAAGAAAAGATACGTTGGTCTCGTGAAATATTGAAGCAGCGCACTAACGCTTAGATACAATAATTATAGGAAACACAGAATACAGATGAACAGAAATGAAAACGCAAACCCCTAAAAGAGAGAAGCACTTAAGACTGTGCTTACTCAAAAGCCGTTGGCACACTTTATTGCGAGTACAAAGTGTCAACAAAAACAATCTCAAAACAACCGTAAATGTAGAATGTAATTTTGTTTCCTGCCAATATTTAGTTTAGAGTCATTGGTCAATTATACATTCTGCATATGTAAGCGAGAAAAGATCCACTAAATGTCACAAAAACGCTAGTCAGTGCCACTTAATGACATTTAAAGTGATTTAAGATATTTTTAAACTCTATAATATTTTAATGATATGCTAACTTGTGGTTTCTTGAAGCACCCAGCAATGTTGGATATAGCGAAAACACTAATGATAATGTTGTGAATGACACGTCTATATGAATAATGAATAAAATGGACACTTTACTAGTGCACATCAAATCCAACTAGGGATCGAAAAATCTGATACGCGCAAATTTCAACAACTGACATAAGAAAATAATGCAATTCCTAAATGTAATTGATCAACATTTCAACAAATACACATATATTATTATTATTATTGTAATTATTTTTATTATTATTATTATTATTATTATTATTATTATTATTATTATTATTATTATTATTATTATTATTATTCAACCAGTAGAATTTAATCAGCTCCTCCCTCCCTAAATAAAGGTCCATCTCTTTAATTCCTCACCCACTGATCTAGAAACTCTGGCCACTCAAGGTGAAAACAACAGACACGTCCTTCAAAGCAGTGTCACCATTGACCGCATATTCATGTCATCTAAACCCCAAATTTCGAAGGCTAACTGGGCAAAGATCTACAACTGATGCCTGCTGCTGTAAATTGACAATACAGAACGGATATTATATTATAAGCAAAATAATTATAATACACTCTATGGATAGATAACACGAGTTAGTTCGGTTTCTCACCATCAGCCCTTCGTAAATGAAGCTGTGGTTAATCCGAACTTGTTTTGAGAAGGCTGAAACTATACATGCTCTGTTAACGCTGTACACAGCAACAAAATCCGTACAAATTTCCGATGATATAATATGCAATGATAATTTATAATACACATTTTCGTGACACTCGACTAGATTTCAATTACACAAAAACACTCTAAGTATTCCGTCTGTTAGGTAGGCGTAATACAGGTACGTCATCTATTTCGAGGGTTTAGAACCTAACATTGAAGTTTTTCCTCCAGACGTTTCCTGAATAGCATAAAATAACAAGAGCAAAGTTATACCAAAAAGAGGTCCAAGTGAACCTTTGTTGATCAGTAAGCTGACATCTGCCTAAAACCATAAAACAGTGCAGTTGACATAGGATTGGAGACAGTAGGATGCTTAATGTCACAATATCTACTAATATTGCATAACTTATTAGAACAAATGTTGCATATATGTTCATCCATTTTTCATGGCAAATTAGCATCATTAAACCAATGCAGAACGGTCTCTCGGACACAACTCTTTGTGTCAAAGCTTGTTTGTAATGTTCAGCAGTTTGTTCCTTCAAATTAAAATGCAAATGGATTTGTTCCTGTTTCTTTTGATCATCCAACCACTCGGCACCCAGAAGGTTTAGAGATAAAGACGTTTAAAGGTTTTATTTTATTGCAACAAGAGCCATATTTGATGGCACATCAGCGCATTTGCACAGACCGTTATGCTAGGATGCTTTCTGCCAGGCTTGGTCAGATTTATGTCACCAACGTTAGAGATATGTTTTATGTAGCCTCAAGTATTCATATTTGTGGTGACAACGCTGTATTTGGATGCAGAAATTTACTATAATCGTTTAATAAGTATTTATACCAACAAGGTTATTATGTAATTATGCCAAGAGAAAAAAAATCGTTTAACTTTTTTCTCTATTTATAACAGTGACCTCATTTAATTCTCTCATAACATGACTGTTTGCACAGTTTTATAATATTCTGTACAGCCATGTATGTCCATAATGTTTTCCTCATTTTGGCAAGTGAGGGCAAACTTTGAATAAGACCGATCAAAATAGTTTGCACATGTTTCAAACTATATATTCTCTTTAGCGGTTTATAAAAGACTCGTCTAAAGATGTATATTCTATTTGCAAATGCTGCTAGCCACTGTTGGATTCATTTAAGATCTTATTTTATCTGCAATGGTTATAATAGATTTGATAAATCTATAGAGATGAAGTCGTTCAGAGTCTTTTCTATTTTTAGTAATGGTGGCCATATTGTATGGCACATTCGCATCATTTCTACAAACTTGAAAAGTTTTCTTCCAACATTTG